CAAGGGCAGGTCTGTCCTACCCAAAGCTGGTCCATGGGTACTGCGTCCTTCCCTGTGTGCTGTAGTAGGTGTTGTGAGTGAAAGCCTGGGCTGGATACACTACCCCTTCTGTACCCAAGCTGCTGCTACCCCAAAGTTGTGCAGGAAAGGGTTTGGGGATCAGGAGTGTTGTAGTCCGACCGATGGGTCACACGCTACTGGCCTTTCCCTGGCCTGATGCTGTGGAGATCCATGGCAGTCCTGTGCCCCCAGTTCTGCCCTCTTTCTTTGGCTGACATGGGATCGGCCTGTGCCAGGAATCGAGGTACCAACACGGCCACTGCTTGACTGGGTTTTTCCTGCAAGATCCTTCTCCAAGCTTCTTGTTTGTAATTTTCAGTCTTCATCCCTGTGGGCTGCCGTGAAGTGGGTTGCTTTGACCTGCCTGCCTTGTCCCTCCCTTAGGACTCACATCTTCCAGGACCCAGGAAGTTACTCAGCTGGAGCAGTGGGGAGAGCCCTTTGTGCCTGCCTGTGGAGTTGTGATCACAGCCACACCAAGAGGTGCTTGGAGGGAGGAAGTGGGGAAGAGGGAACTCAGGGATGGGTTCAAATCATACAAGGAGTCTCTCCATGGTGCCCTGATGTTTTGGTGTCAAACAAGGGGCCAAGGCTGATTTTCTCTTTTCTTCCTCAGCTCTGCCCATTGCTCAGGGCAGCTCTGGTTTCTGACCCAGGGGTGTCCCCCACCCGTCCTCCACTGCTCCCTCTCCAGTGCTCACCAACAGTAGACCCGTTTTGTGCTCTTTTATGACATGGCCAGGCAGGTGCAGCCACGAGAGGAAACACAGGACAGCCTAAGGAAAAAAACAAAGTTTATTATGCTCACAGGTCCAGAGAGACAGTCACTGCACGCCGAGAGGGGGTTCACGTGGGAGGAGCGCGAGGGAGCAGGCTCAATGGAGCAGGGGGGAAGCAGAGGGTGAGGACCTGTTGGCAAGTGTCTCTGTTGGTGGTTGGGGGGAGAATGCAAGAAAAGGCACGAGGGGATTTATTTATTTATTTATTTTGGACTGCGTTGGGTCTTTGTTGCTGTGTGCGAGCTTTCTCTAGTTGCGGTGAGCGGGGGCTGCTCTTCGTTGCGGTGCATGGGTTTCTCATTGTGGTGACGTCTCTTGTTGTAGAGCGCAGGCTCTAGGCACATGGGCTTCAGTAGTTGTGGCATACAGGCTCCGTAGTTGTGGCTCACAGGCTCTAGAGCGCAGGCCCAGTAGCTGTGGTGCACGGGCTTAGCTGCTCTGTGGCATGTGGGATCTTCCCAGACAAGGGCTCAAACCCATGTCCCCTGCATTGGCAGGCAGATTCTTAACCACTACACCACCAGGGAAGTCCCAACACGAGGGGATTTTATTGGTGCATTTAAACCTACTAGGTCACACTCAGGGGAGGACCAGAAGGGCAACTTGTGGCAGGGACCAGCCTCCTCACACTGGTGCCACTGGCGGGGTGCTCACAGCCTCTTTGTGGGGATGCTGAGGGAGCAGGAAAACAGGGAGCTTCAAAGGTTGCAATATAGTTGACCCAGTGGTGTCTCAACATCGTTATCAACTCTCATTGGGATGGGTGACGCTTGCCACCTGGCTTGTGGTGATGTTAGAGGTGACAGGAATAGTTTGTTCTTGCCACCAAAGGCAATCTTTGACAAAGGTGTCAACTAAGAATGGTCCTACCAGGTATATAATGAGGATATGAAACCCAGGCGGCAGCCAGCACGGCAGGTAGTAGGGGAAAGGCAAGAGAACAGATCAGGCACCTCCAGGTTTAAGGGAGTCTTTTGGAAGCTTTTGGTTCTGTTACGAAAGATTTTTACCACTTGTCCTAATCCTCGTAGCTTGGCCTGTAGCTGTCCTGAGCCACCTTTCCTGGCTAGTAAACAATCAGGAGCCAGTCTGTTATCCATGACCATTTGGGCTCAGAGACTTGTAGGTTTGTTGAATAAGGGCCAAGGTTTCCTGCAGCCTTTGTACGTGATCTGAGAGGGCCACTGAAAGGCGCTGGTTGGCAGACGTGATCTGATCTTGTTGGACAAAGGCTGCTGTACTGGTGCCAAAGCTAGTGTCTCCTGTGGGTATCACAAGTCTGATTAAGATGGGAATAAATAGGGACTTCCCTGGTGGTCCAGTGGTTAAGACTCCACACTTCTGCTGCTGGGGGCACGGGCCCGATCCCTGGTTGGGGAATTAAGATCCCGCATGCCACACGACATAGCCAAAAAAATAAAAATAAAAAAATAAGATGGGAATAGATAATTGCCTGTTTTTCCCAGCATCCTTGGGTTGATGGAAAAAGGGAGGTACCTGGTGAATAAAGAACTGGAGTGGGGAGGGGACCCGGTCCGTGTCCTGGCAGTAATTGTGGGCTGGGCTGTTTAAATAACTCACGGACAACTTTGTAAATATATGTTGGGTTTCTTCAAAAGTAAAGGCGAACTGGGGCTGTGACTAAGGGGTCATAGACCCAGAATAAAATGTCCTGGGCCAGATCCACTGTGGCCAAGTAGTCACTGGTGCCCTCTTGATGTCTTCAGTTAATTGGATTATGTTAGGTGTTGGACCCCTGATGGGGGGAACTTGACCTTTAAGGTTTCGATAATCAACAGTTAAGTGCCACCCCTATTAAGGAGAAATAGCAGGAATCATCTCCTCTTCTTTTAGTAGATCTTGAACAACCAGTCAAAGGCCAGTACCTTGTTTCATGTGATACTATGGCATGTTTACTACCTTCACCAGCAGGGGCAACTCCACAGGTTCTCACTTTGTGAGAGGGACTTGAGCTTGTTCAGGTGTCATACACATCTGTCTCTCACAGGAAAACTCAAAGCATCAGTGGTCACCATCATGGGCAGCTGTTTGATAAAGATTGTTGACACCTGGTGCAGTGTGTTTGCCATGACTAGTTCTACCAGTATCACCCTGGAGGCAGTAAGGGGCGTTAGCAAGTCGGGAAAGAATGCTAGGCGTGGGGGGTGGTTACCTGCACACCAGGCGGCGGATGTGATACGTCAGAATTTGTGAGTCAGGGTGCGCAGAGCTCTCATGGCACGTCTGGAGATAGTTCCATCCGTGGCCTCCTATTTGGTGTAAGATATACCAATAAGGTTAAGCAACAAAGCTCTGTATCAGGATGGGCACCTGCAAGAACAACTCCTGGACTCTGTGACAAAGAGGGCCTCCTGATTTAGAAACGTGCTCAGGGTTCTCCTTGTCTGAATGCCCAAAGAATTGATAGATCCATTGAACCATTCCAGTTTTTGCAGAGGAGCACATGGGCTTCCTTGACTGTTTCCCACTGGGCATCTCCAGGCCATGAAAATCCAATTCAGTTAACGGCAGGGCTTCTGAGTCCCAAGTGGTGGTAGAGGCTTCAGATTCCTCATCTGAGGCCTTTATAATCCCATCAAAAGTTTTGGTCTCTGTCACACCTACCCTGGCGTTTGGGATGCCCTCTCTCCTCCCTGAGGTCTGTCAGCCCCAAAATATCAGGCGAGAGTTGAACTTGGAGGGCCAAAGTATCTTTAATTATGCATCTTAGCCTCTTTCCAAATGCTGGCAGCTGCCTCATCTCTGGGGCTGAATGTGCACCCATGTTAAATGCTCTCACTAACCAATCAGCTCCCTTTCCCCACCTCTTTGAATGAAATCTTTAAAAATCATTGGTATTTCTAGTCTTGTGAAATTGCAAGTTTCACCTTATAATTCCTTGTGATCTCCTGTGTTCTTGAGCTGCTGGGTCTGAGAAGACCTTGGATGCTTCCTTTCTGTGGCCCCTCTCATAGGCAGCAGCTTCCTTTTCTAAGGTGACTTCAGCTGGGTTGGGATCCATTCAGGACAGCTCTGGTGGCCAGATCTCCTTTTCCAATCGTTCCTAGACCTCTGGAGCTGAGCAGTAGTTGGCATGTTGATAGGCAGTGGCACTAAGTAGAGCCCAGCAATGTTGCAAAGATGTTTTACTTTGAAATAATTGGCTCACCTCCTCTGGTTATTGGGAGTTGCTGGAATTAAATGTTCCTGCTAAGATCCTGGCCTGTAAGATCTTGAGCCACTGATCTCCAGGAATGGGGCCCCCAATACCCATGGGATCAGGAGACAAAGAGTGACAGCAGTGAAGAAGCAGTTGCCAGCACCATTGACCTTCACAGAGTGCCATGGTGGACCTCTCTGAAGGGGATGCAGCATCACTGGTTAGGACTGAGGAGAGGAACATGAGGAAGGTGCGAGGGGATTTCACTGGTGAGTTTAAATGGCCCTGGGTCTCAGTCAGGAGGGTAGGTAAGAGAACTTGTGGCAGGGGCCCACCTTCTCACACTGGTGCACATGGTGGCATAGTTTACAGCTTGTTTGTGGGGCTGTTGAGGCAACAGGAGAATGGGAAGTTTTCCAGGTCACAATACAAGCTTTCACTCCATGTGTCATGAGGTGTACACATATCCTTAATAGTCCTTGAACACCAGCTACTCAACTGCCTTCAATTTTTCTGGGCCTGGACACACCCTTCTGCACTGTGTTCCTGTGTCACCAGCAGCTGAAACCCTGCTGAAAGCCATTTGCAGAGGAGTGTGTTGGAGACCCTGCCTTTCCTCCCTGGGCTGCACCCCATCTTGTATCCTTGCTACTCATGAGTCCCCCGATCTGTGAGGTTGTCAGGTCCGGCACTGCACAGTGAGCTCTCCCTCATCCTGCCAGTAATCCCAGGGACTCCATACTGGCTGTGTCAGACACATTTGTGAGGGTGCTGCCCCGTCCCACCAAAGTCTATGTACTCTTCATCAGCATTTCTCTGCTTTCAGGTTGTTGGTGTGGAGCGGAGGCTGAGGACGTGGCACCTGAGCAGGGTGTTTATGTAGAGGGAGTGCTCAGAGCAAACCTTCACCAACACCAGAAACTGAGCTCTGGAGAGAAACCCTCAAGAAGAGAAGAGGGTGAGGAGGGTGGGAAGGTCTCTCCAACTAGCTCTGGTCTTTCCAAGCATCAGGTGGCTCACAGCAGAGGGGAGCCACATAGGAGCACCGAAAGTGGGGAGGGCTTTCACCCTGGAAAAAGGCATTACAGATGCAGCGAGTGTGGGAAAGCCTTTGGTCAGAAATACTTACTTGTTCAGCACCAGAGACTACACACTGGAGAAAAACCTTATGAATGCAGCGAATGTGGCAAATTATTTAGCCATAAATCCAACCTTTTTATACACCAAATAGTTCACACTGGTGAAAGGCCTTACCAGTGTAGTGAATGCAGAAAATCTTTTAGTCGCAATGCTGACCTCATTCAACACCGGAGAGTTCACACTGGAGAAAAGCCTTTTAAATGCAGTGAATGTGGAAAAGCCTTCAGGCATAATTCCACACTTGTTCAGCATCACAGAATCCACACTGGAGTGAGGCCTTATGAGTGCAGTGAATGTGGGAAGTTCTTTAGCTTTAACTCAAGCCTCATGAAACATCAGAGAGTTCACACTGGAGAAAGGCCTTATAAGTGCAGTGAGTGTGGGAAATTCTATAGCCACAAGTCAAGCCTTATTAATCACTGGCGAGTTCACACTGGAGAAAGGCCTTATGAGTGCAGTGAATGTGGGAAATTCTTTAGCCAAAGCTCTAGCCTCATGCAACACCGAAAAATTCACACTGGAGAAAGGCCTTATGAGTGCAGTGAATGTGGGAAATTCTTTAGCCAAAGCTCTAGCCTCATGCAACACCGAAAAATTCACACTGGAGAAAAGCCTTTTAAGTGCAATGAATGTGGAAGATTCTTTAGTGAGAATTCTAGCCTCGTTAAACACCAGAGGGTTCACACTGGAGCAAGGCCTTATGAGTGCAAGGAATGTGGGAAACTGTTCCGTCACAGCTCCAGCCTTGTTAAACATCGGAGGATTCACACTGGAGAAATGCCCTATGAGTGCAGCAGTTGTGGGAAATCATTTAGCCAGCGTTTCAACCTCATTCAACACCATAAAGTTCACAGTGGAGAAAAGTCTTGAATGCAGCAAATGTGGAAAAGTCTTTAACCAAAAGTCCACTCTGATTCAGCAACAGAAACTTCACAGCTCAAACAGGCCTTATGAATATGGGGACATGAAGAAAGGTTGCAGCCAAAGTCTTAACCCTGTTTTGGCACCAGAAAGTTCAGATTGGAGAAAGGCCTTAAGAGTGCAGGGCATGTGCTGTCTCCTGATCAACCTAACTTAAACATAGAAGCTCTGAGAGCAGCCTTTATGAGTGAGCCAACAATTGAATATCATTCATCCAAACATGCACACTGGAGCAGGATGAGAATTGCTGACATCCCGCCCCTCTTGAGAGGCTAGTCCTCTGCCAGGCAGCTCTAATGAGAGGGAGCCCTGTGTTCTTGGGTGCCTCAGTCTGGAGTTTTCATCTCTGAGTTCAAAGCAGGGAGAGAGGGTGTGGCCTTGGTTCAGATGTGACTGGCTCTTGCTGTTCGTCCTGAGTATTAGATTTCCTTAAATGTTTCCTTATTTGCTGTGTAGACTTAGGATCATTTCTAGAGGCTTTAGATGGTGTTTTTATAATTTTTCACCAGTTTCATTGGGAATCAGGGCTTGCAGAGCTCCTTACACTGTCATGCTGGAAGTTGATGCAAATATTTAACTTTTTAAGAACTTGCCACCTTGTGTTCTAAATGGTTATGCCATCTCACATTTCCTGGAGTGTATTCGTTTTCCAGTTTCTTCACATCCTTCCTGACCTTTGTATGTAAGACACTGGCCATTCATTTTAGCCATTCTAGTAGGTATGTAGTAGTATTTCACTGTGGTTTTAATTTGCATTTCCCTAATGGCTCCCTGTGTATTTGCCATCCATATGTCTTTAGTGAATTATCTGTTCAAAGTTTTTTGCCTACTATTAAGGAACTATCTTGCAATTTCTTAATATATTCTGGGTGCAAGTTACTCATTTGATATATGCTTTACCAATATTTCCTCACAGTCTGTGGCTTTGGTTTTCATTTCTTAACCTTATCTTTCCTAGAGTAGAATTTCTTAATTTTCATGAAATCCAATTTACCCATTCGTTTTTTATTGATTTTACTTTTGGTATTGTACTCTTTCTCTTATCTTTGCCTGTAAAAAAAAAAGCCTTATCTGAGTATGTTATTGGAGTCTTAAGACCCTTTTAAATATCCAGTCTTGGGACTTCCTTGGCAGTGCAATGGTTAAGAATCCACCTGCTGATGCAGGGGACACAGGTTTGAGCCCTGGTCTGGGTAGATCCCACATGCCGTGGAGCAACTAAGCCCATGCGCCACAACTATTGAGCCTGCAATCTAGAGCCCATGCTCTGGAGCCCACAAGCCACAATTACTGAAGCCTGCATGCCTAGAGCCCATGTTCCGCAACAAGAGAAGCCACCGCAATACACAATGAAGAGTAGCCCTGCCCCTGCTCACCACAACCAGAGAAAGCCTGTGTGCAGCAACAAAGACCCAACACAGCCAAAAATAAATAAATCCATCAGTAAATTTTAAAAATAAGTAAATATCCAATCTTGTGAAATTTCTGTAAATTTAAATACACATAAAAAACTCAATGTATGTAGAAATGTTTACATATGAACACATTCCCTATCTCTTCTGAGACAGCCTAGAAAGAAGTGGCATTCCAGCAGCTGTGAGCATATTTATTGTCCAGTTATTGGCTTATGAATATGATATTTCAATAAAAAGAACCAGAACTCCTTAGATAAGAGGCTATTCCCAGGTTGGAGCTGGAAAAGTATAACATGAGCATAGGAAATATTCTTCCATTAGAAAGTAAAGAATTACCTGAAGGGAATTTCCTGGTGATCCAATGGTGAGGACTCAGTGCTCTCACTGCCGTGGCCTGGGTTCAGTCTCTGGTTGGGGAACTAAGATCCCACAACCTGCATAGCATGGCCAAAAAAAAAGAAGTACTTGATGAATAATGTTGATGTATTAGCTTTCTATTGCTGTCCTAACAAATTACCACAAACTTATGGCTTAAACAACATAAATTTATATTATAGTTCTATATGTCATATGCCCACTGAGACCTGGGATGGGCTCACTGTGCTAAACTCAAGTTGCTGGCAGGGTTGTGTTTTTTTTCATGGAGTGGAGGAAATTCTGTTTCCTACTCATTTTTCTTTTTTTTGAGGTACGCAGGCCTCTCACCGCTGTGGCCTCTCCCGTCACGGAGTGCAGGTTCCGGATGTGCAGGCTCAGCGGCCATGGCTCACAGGCCTAGCCGCTCCACAGCATATGGGATCCTCCTGGACTGGGGCATGAACCTGCGTCCCCTGCATTTGCAGGCGGACTCTCAACCACTGCCCCACCAGGGAAGCCCCTGTTTCCTATTCATTTGAGTTGTTAGGCAATTTCAGTTCCTTGTGGTTGTAGGACTGATATTCCTGTTTTTTTGGAGGCTGTCAGCTACCAGGTCATCCCTGGAACATGTAAAAACTCTTAAAGAATATTTAAAGATGAAACAGTACCAATTACACAGAAATTCTTCTAAAACAAGATTCAAACACTTCCCAACTAGTTAAGTGAATGATGCTATTAAAACACTATGGACCAATACCCACATGATCATAGATACAACAAAAACCTTAACAAGATTTTAGCACACTGAATCCAGCCATATATATATGTAAACACATAAATCACAACCTAGTGATGTTTATCAGGAATGCAAAGATTTAACAACTGAATCTATATAGTAATAGACTAAAATAAAAACAATCATCTCAAAGATGTAGTGGAAGAATTTCACAGAATTCAAAACCAGTGAATGATACAAATTATCAGCAAATTAGGATTAGATGGGAACTTCCTCAGCCTGATATAGTGTATCTATGAAAAAAACAACAGCTAATATATTTGATGGTGAAAGCCTAATGCTTTTGCCCTGATATTGGGAATAATGCAAGTATGTCTATGTTCACCACTTAACATTATACTAGTGGTCTGTGTTAGTAACATAAAAAAAAAAAATTCTAAAGATTGTAAAGGTAGAACCAAAACTGTCTATTCATGTAAGACATGATTATGTTGAAAATTACAACTCATTCACCAAAAAGCTACTAGGTCTAATGATTGAGAATGATTGAGTTTAGCAAGGTCCCAGGATAAAAAGGCCAATATACAAAAATTACTTGTGTTTAACTATACTAGCAATGAATGTTTGGAAATTGAAAAGAAGAAATCTGTTACAATACCATCAAAATATGAATTATTTAGAAATAAACTGAATAAAATATGTTCAAAAACAATAAGAAATTATCAAACACTGGTGGCAAATTCTATAAAACATTTACAGGGTAAATAATACTACAATAACGTCCTTTCAGAAAATAGGAGAAGGATCAAATGCTTTCCAACTCATTTTAAGAGACCAACCTAATTGATATAAAAATGTAATGAGTACAAAAAAATAGTAATTACAGAACTATAGTCCTAATTAATACAGGTGAAAAAATCCTTAACAAAATATAGAGCAAATTAAATCTAGAAAAAAGTAAAAATAATAAAATATGGGGCTTCCCTGGTGGCGCAGTGGTTGAGATTCCACCTGCCAGATGCGGGGGATGCAGGTTTGTGCCCCGGTCCAGGAGGATCCCACATGCCGCGGAGCGGCTGGGCCTGTGGGCCATGGCTGCTGGGCCTGCGTGTCCGGAGCCTGTGCTCCACAGCAGGAGAGGCCACAGCAGTGAGAGGCCCACGTACTGAAAAATAAAATAAAATAAAATATGTATCATTAGATCTTGTCAGAGGAAAATACAGCTGACTGAATATTAGGGAAACAATCACCCCCACAGTGTATTCTGTAGCCAGAGAGAGCTTGTTACGACCTGAATCAGGGCACCTCCATCAGCTCTAAACCGTCTATGGCTCCCACCACCCTCAGAAGGCCCAGCTCCTCATTTGCCATTTCACAGCTGATTCCTGCTCACCTGCTCTCTGGTCCCAAAAGACATAGTGTAGACTTGTGGTTTCTAGAACATTCCCAGGTCAGTGCCACAATGAAGCATATGCACATGCTAGTTCTTGTGCCTGGCAACCCTTACCTCATCCTATTGGGTTCCAGAAATTGGAAGTGCGCCACACAATCCCCGTTTTCGATTAAGGACCATAGGCCAAGAATAACTCACCTCTGAGTACCTCAAAAGCCCACGCACTGCAGTGAAGAGTAGCCCCCACTCGCCGCAACTAGAGAAAGCCCGCGTGCAGCAACAAATACCTAGCACAGCCAAAAATAAATAATAAATAGCTAAATAAATAAATAACAAAAAAAAAATCCCCCAAAAGAGACCCCGTTCCTCAGCCTGCCATTCCAGACCTGACTTCTGTCTCGCCACTCTGTCCCCGACAGGCAAAATGGAGATTCGCAATTCCACCCAGCTCAGCCTCACCTCCCAGCATTTTTACCTAGTGGTTCAAGTGCCTGGGACACCCCTGCACAAATCATCAATTAACTGAGTTGGGAACTCTTCCATATAAACCCTGGCCTGGATTCAGGGCAGGAGGCTGGGACAGACTGACCGGCCTCCACGGCCCCCAGACTCAAAGGTAGAGTAAGGGGAAGTGAAGAGACCCAGGACAATTTCGCTCTATATGGGGGCGCCGGGATGATGTGGCTGGAGGTCCAATGGGCCTGAGGGGCCATCCACTCACCAGTGCCGAGTCCGTCTGTGCCTCTGCCGCGGCCATGAGACCCTTTCCAGGGACCTGGGCCTTGCAACTCAGGAGACCAGGGAGGGTCCCAACGGTTCAGCTGACGCCCCTCGCCTGCCCCTCCCACCCTCAGCCTTGCCTCCGTGCAGGGAGGGGAGGAAGCCTCTTCCCGAGACTTTCTGCTCCCTGCCCTCGAGCCCGCTTACGGCTTGGGAGCTGCGTGCGATCCCGAGGACAGACGCAGGCGCAGCCAATACGACCTTCACGAGAATTCCGCCGGAAGTCTCGCCCAACGTGGGATCCCAGTCCTGCACAGTCATTGGCCCG